AGGTTTTGGTCTTTTTCTTAAGGTTTGGATTAAAGTAGTATAAAGGTATAGAATTCTAGTTAGAGTTAGGATTCTGACTTGAGAAAGGGGGGGGGTAATTCCCCGGGGGGGGGGGGGAATTGACAGGGGGATAATTGACAGGGGGGTAATTACTCCGGGGGGTAAATACGGGGGGAAATGTCCGGGTGGGAAATTTCCAGGGGGGTAATGTCCTGTAGCCTTTACAAGTCTACTTCCCCTGTATAATTTCATAAATATTTGTAACGTGATAAATAGAATGGACAAACCTAAACAAACACCTAATTAACATTATGGTATTCTTGAATCTTTGTGCTATAACCGTACTGTGAATAATGGATTATCACTGCATCCTGGCAACAAAGTTTATATCGTAAAAGTGACAAACCATTGTAAATTCGATTCACTTTTTTGTTGTTTATAATTTTCAACATTTTGTTCTAGAAACTTCTTGACCTGCTTTAAAGATTCATTTTAGTTAACATACGTTCTATAGGCCTATCTAATCTAATGTATATGTAAATGTAAAAGTTTTTCTCTCTGTCCTTTAAGCATTACTGCGCATGTCATTATATCGCCAGAAACACAATAATAATGACGATGTTAATATGCCATACAAAGATAAGAACTACGGTGGTGGGGTTACCGTTAAAAAAAATAGAATACAGATATAAATAAAGAGATATAAGAAACACTGATATTCACCACAGTAATAGCCTTTATATGGCAAACAGTATTCTAAGCTTTCTTAAAAGGTATGGATGACCAGTAATCTCTTTACACGTAAGTTAAGATATTCAATAGAAAATGTATTGAAATTTTAAGCTTGCAGTATTTATTTAATGTCACCACAAAAGGCAACAGCTTGCAAGCTTTACATTTTTCAACGATACACTGTTATTGATCTGTAAACACATGCACTTTGAAAAGTATTAAAATGATAAGCAGTTACCAGATCGAAATGTATTAAATTGATTTTGTAAGCACTTTTTGTGTATTTTCGAACACTATACGATTTTTATGGTACAATATGTGTGCATTCATGGCTATGGCTATGGCTATGGCTATGGCTATGGCTATGGCTATGGCTATGGCTATGGCTATGGCTATGGCTATGGCTATGGCTATGGCTATGGCTATGGCTATGGCTATGGCTATGGCTATGGCTATGGCTATGGCTATGGCTATGGCTATGGCTATGGCTATGGCTATGGCTATGGCTATGGCTATGGCTATGGCTATGGCTATGGCTATGGCTATGGCTATGGCTATGGCTATGGCTATGGCTATGGCTATGGCTATGGCTATGGCTATGGCTATGGCTATGGCTATGGCTATGGCTATGGCTATGGCTATGGCTATGGCTATGGCTATGGCTATGGCTATGGCTATGGCTATGGCTATGGCTATGGCTATGGCTATGGCTATGGCTATGGCTATGGCTATGGCTATGGCTATGGCTATAGCTATGGCTATGGCTATGGCTATGGCTATGGCTATGGCTATGGCTATGGCTATGGCTATGGCTATGGCTATGGCTATGGCTATGGCTATGGCTATGGCTATGGCTATGGCTATGGCTATGGCTATGGCTATGGCTGTGGTTTTGGCTGTGGTTGTGGCTGTGGCTGTGGCTGTGGCTGTGGCTGTGGCTGTGGTTAGGGCTAGGTTTGGGGCTAGGTTTGGGTTTGGCTTTTCTTGTTTTGTGTGCTTTATAATGGCTTAGAATACAACATCTGGCGTCCTTTAGAATAGCAATGTTTATATGTAATGCAGAGTTTTTCATTTTACGAATATGGACAACTATGGTTGAATTGGTCCATGCTGCAATTGGTCTACAATTAGGTTGACAAAAATATTTTTTATATCGAATAACTAAAAGTTTGAAAGCGAAAAGCGTTACATTTTTTGTTAGAACACAAATGATAGAACGGTTGAGCGATGTGCATATCATTGGATAACATAGAGGCAACTTAAACATTTTATCGTGTTTTATGTTGATCTAAAGTCTAGCCCATCATAGACAAACAACAAGTATCAACCACGGTCACTTTGGTCAGATTTCAACTTTTTTCCTAGCCGGCCATCGAACTTGTTGATTGATTACGATTATGATCTAGTTTTCCTCAAACACGAAATTCACGAGCAAATGTAAACACTAGGTGTAAAAAAATATTACAAAAAGGTGCAGTGGTTTTTAATTTTATTAAAATAAGATGTGTAGAATTTTTATTCAGCCAAATTTGAACAGAAATTACGTAGAAGGTAGTCTTAAATAAACTTAAACTGTTTTCATTATTATTTAACAGCTGTCATTATTTTTAGATTATCTGAGGGTGAACTCTGTGGATACGCATGATCTATAACAATTAACAATATTCATTGCTATTAACTGTTTCATTTCATTATACTCTCTTTTAGTTTGTGCTGTAGGCACGTGGGGGAAATAAAGTTTAGTCCATTTGTTTCAACCACCTCGGCAAAAGAGGGATAGTGTAGTCAACATTCTTCCCAGTACGCCTAATTTCCCTAACCTGAGTTGGGTACGCATCAGACTTGGGTGGATTCAAAAATGCCCGAAAGTCTCGAGGCCAGGATTCGAACGCGAGACTTACGCTGAGCAGTTTGTTTATATTGAAATGTTTCTTTGATAAACATTTTATAGTTCTTAATACCTAATTTCTATTGATTTCAGGCACACACAATAATGAAAATATGAGCATGCTTTAGTGAGAGACCTCTAGATTTTCTGCTTAGTAGCAACTGTTGCAAAATCAATTAAATCCTCGCCGTTTTCTCGGAAATCAGATTATCAATATAAACTATTCTGGTAGGCTTACGTTTTGTATTTAATTATTCTTTTTTAAATATTATTATACTAGAATAGATGAACAATATATCAGACATAAGAAAACAATTTCAGACTGCTTAGCATGTAACAATTGTTTTTTTTTTTAGTTTTTGTAAACAGAATGTAAATCAAGATTTTGTAAAACTTAGTTTTGCAGTTTGCGGAAGTAATACTTTTACTACTTCCATTTTCTTAAAAGTCTATAACGAGGGATAATTAAGCAATAGTTAAAAGGTTAGTAATTTTAGATTTCGCGTCTGTGTTATGTTCTTTTGTTGTTTCATCATTTGTTTCTAGTTGCACTATTTCTTCTTCTTTTTTTTAAACTTGAGTTTAAACCATTCTACTTACGTCTGTTTTATTTTCTATCGTATTTTCTTCATATATTTGCTGCACTTAAAAAGCCATTTCATCAACTATATGTCTGATTTATTAAATGATATACTCTAGAAAAAGAGCATTCAAAAACGAATTCATGACAAATATTAAGACTTATCTCCATAGATTTTAAAAAGTTTTTTCTTTAAAATATTTTTATTAAATTGTTATGAAACCGTACTGTTTATTTGGAGACATTTAAGGTTTAAAAAAACGTAATTACTAATGGTAAAGAAAACAAATACACAACTTTAACAACTCTTCTCCCGTTGTATTGTTAAACGTAAATAATGGTATTATATCCTTTCTTAATGATTTGACTCAATGCTAAAAAGTTCAATAATAAATTAAGGTTACGAGATATTAAGCTTAAAATAAAGCCTAAGTTGCTTTTTTTTTTAAATTTAAAATAATTACTATTCTGGTAGAGACACTTAATTTAATCAGATTTGAAATATGTTAACGGAAAAAAAGAATATTTCATTACCCCAAACTGAGCAATGATGCTTAAAGGTATAGTTATTGGAGTTTTTAAAATGTGTTAATAATTAATTTACACTTTAAATTGCTACGACTGTAGATAACGCAACCGTATGCTTCACTAATTGATTTAAAATTGTACACTAAACATTTCTTTTAAACTAATTCGTAACATTACAGAGAAATAATGTATTCAGTGATGACCTCAGTTTCCAAAAATATTCAAAATTCCTAGTAAAGCACTGTTAATGTTTTTTTACCAATTACCAAAACAGCTAAACTATATTTAATATGGATATTTTACTGTTCAGCATTTTCGCATTTCGCAATATACCGGAGCCCAACATCTGTTACAACATCTGTTGTTCTTTTTTTCAGCATAATGAAATACTATATTATATTTCCTTTCTAAGAAAAAGGTATTTTATTAGAAAATGTCGTGTTCTCTGAAGATGACGTCACAAAACATTATATAACACACGATCATGAAATAAGGTGGTTAATACGCAGTGACGTCTGAAACAACCAAGTGCGCTAATTTTTCACCTAACCGTTTACATAGCTCTCTATAAGGGGATTATACTTCTTTAATAAAATATAGGCATCACATATTGTAAGTCTTTATTTAAAAGTATACATATTGTTCAGAAAACTGTTTCATTTATAGAAAAAAAAACACAAATGTTGAATCAAAATTCGAAATTATAAATCTCTTATGTCTAGGTTTATGTTACGTGAAATTGTTTACTGTGGCTCTTCTAAAGATCAAGATCTAGGTCTAGATTTTTAGGTCTAGTCTTTTACGTCTACATTTAAGCTTTAATTTAAGATCTAAAGCTATTCAGGACTATAGAAGTTTTACGTTTAGATACTTGTTTATTTGTTTATAATACTTTTATATAAGTTTTTGTTTAAAAATGCTTTGTCTAAATTTTCTGGTCAACTATTAGGGGTTATGTAGTCACTAACAAGCCGCGCTGCCTCAGCTTTAGCCGACTCCGGTTATCTATGTCTACGTTTACTACTACGTCTACTTCTAAGTTTAGGGATACTTTTACGGATACGGATAGGGGTTATATAACGAGAAGCTAATAACAACTTCAATTCGTATTATATTTTTGTGTCTATCATTCTCTCTCTTTCTACTTTGTCTATCTTTGTGCTTCAAGTGTCAAATGGATATATGAATATTCATCTTGTATTAATACTTTTGTTTTTCCAAAATCCAGTTTTGCATTGTCAAAAACATTTTGACAGAAATTGGTAATTAGCCATGGCAAAGTCAATGCCTGAGGTAAGAATAATACCTTCTTAAATTAGGAGTTTGTGATAGCCACTCACTTCCCTGATTTAACACTTGTCTTTTTTTTGAAAATTACCTGCTTTAAATAAATATTTTATTTTAATGGTAGTATAAGTCATATTGCCCAAAGGCTCCAAACTAGATTTGTTTGTTTTTTTTATTTTAAAAATTCTTTGATACATATCAAATGAGTTACTAAATGATAATTTTGATGGCATGCCAAAAACCTTTTCAAAACCTAAGCGTGTGTATAGTGTTATGTTTTGGCATGTAGCTACGAAAATGCATGATGTAATAATAATATTACGAGTAATTATAATTTAATTCCAGTTAATTTTATTGTATGGGGACAAAATAGTTATTGCTTTTCCGTTTGCCAACATGAATGCTAATACACCGATATATATATATATGCTAAAATCTATTAGATTTACGAGAGTTTTTATCGTTAGTCATTTTAGTTTACTGAATAAATTTATTGAACTATGTTAAGATTGGATATACATCAATCATACACTAAAACAGTCTGAAAAATCTTAACAAGTAAAAAAAACCTCGGTTAACATAATTTTCGCGTGCTTTCTCCTTCCTAATAACTACTAGTTGTGAACAGTGCTTTTGATAATAATGTGAAGTATTTATGTTCCTTAATCTGAAAAAGGAAAGTAAATATTTATGACCAAATCGATCCCATAATTTATTATTACTAACATGACTACTAACACATTGTGGTTTAAATAGAATCAAATAAGTTTAACATTCTTTTCAGTACGCAAACAAATGGGAAACTGACTTGGATCTTATTGTAATAGGTAAAACTGGTAGCGGCAAAAGTGCAGTAGGTAATTCAATCATTGGCGAAGATGTCTTTAGGAGCAGCTACAACACGACGTCTATTACCAAATACCCAGATTACGCTGTCACAGAATTTGAGGGTCGTATCATACAAGTTGTTGACTGTCCCGGTGTATTAGACACGGATATTGACAAATCAAGTGGGAACACGTTAGTAAAACAAGCTCTAAAAAATGCCATCTTGGCGAATCCTCAAGGATATCACGCATTTCTTTTTGTTTTTAAATTTGGCAATCGTTATACAGAAGAGGAACAAGTGGCAATTGCTACATTAAAAGATTTATTAGGGAAAGATTGCATAAAAAAGTACGGTATTGTTGTACTTACAAATGGAGACACGTTTGATTATAATGTAATTAAAAAAGGTAAAACCAAAGCTGAATATATTCAGGAACAGCAAGGCCCATTTAAACAACTTTTAGATGAATGTGGAAACAGAATGGTTGTTTTTGACAACATAACAAGTGATGAGAATAAGAGACGAGATCAAGTAAAAGTTTTAATTTCCTACATTGATCAGCTTAAAAATCATGGTAATCGGTACACAAACAAAGCATTTCAACAAGCACAGGAGTTGTATATAAAGATGTTTGGTGTTGATGAAAAACCTAAAATTGATAAACAAATGTTAAATATACAAAGCTTATTTTTACAAAAAATAAAGCAAATTAATTTTGCAAAGGAAAAGAGAAAATCTGTTAAATTAGTTTTGGAGATTTATCCTAATCTGATTACGTTTTGGGAAAGCCTGAACAAAAAAGATAAAAATACAGGAGAGTTAAATAAATTAATATTTAATGTCACACAATCGATGCTACTAATTGGAAAAATAATGCATTTTTGTCTGCAAAATAATTTTAAATATTATTTACATTCCGATGATACGGTGAGGGAAATTAAAGATACACATTCTTATTCAGAAGAAGCACAAAGTAAAAAAGAAAGATCCGAAAGGCAATTACTACCACTACAGCAAACGATTTACAAGGACGTCTTACATCCTCCTAAAGCCCCTTCTACGAATGAAGTCAATCCGTTTTTTGAAACTAGAGACTTTAAGCAAGAGATTACCAAGCTAGAAGAATGTTTTATGACTATAAAAAGAGAGCACTCCTTGAACATATTAAGAAAGTATTTTGGTAACCTTACAGAAATGTTCTCAAATGCCACACATTATTTTGGCGGTATATTTTAAATTCTTAAAAATGTATCATATATACAACATTGCTGTGTAACAAGCTAAATGTTTTACCACATCGCATTTTACTTTGAGTCATATCTTTGTTTAGAAGAATAGGTTTGAATTTTTTAGTAAACCACGACCCAGTTCCCAGTTCAGTGTTAACGGTCTGTCGGCTGAACTCTATACGACAACCCAAAAAATCCACAACGCACACCACATCCGTTAAAAGGCTTTTTAACCTCAAAATTATCTTTTATATTAGGATCTAACTACCACCTAGCCCCTTAGGTGGTTTATATATGACGTCCATTAAATCTATTCCATTGATAAGAAACATTCATATTAAATATTTAAATCTTGCATTAGTTAATTTAAAAACTTAATTAGTGTGTTGTTGTTCTTTTTTTTTTTTTAAATGTATTATTTATTAGGCTGCTTTATCTCCGACCCAAGGAAAAAAGTTTTGTTCTACTTCCTAGTTTTTCAGTAAATAAATTGTTTATTTTCTCGCATTACAAACTACGTCAAGCGTATTCCATTAAAAATGTATAATATACTTTAAAACGCGTCAGTCGGCAACGTAATGGATCTTTTTGGACATGTTTTGATTTTTTCTCGTTTTGGTAATTTACATGTGTGTTTTAGACATTCAAAAGTATATCTTAATTTTATTATCGTCTAATTATTTGTTTTATACAGTTATTTTAAACGGAATAATTTTGTCTACATAAGAACGTGGTTTTAAAAAAAACTGTACATATATTTCATTGCAGAGTTTCTGATTTATAATTTGTGACGAATATAGATAAATATACACACTTATAAACATGCATCAATTTTAGTATTTAACTAGCCGTCGTTATCCATTACACGTGAATTATAGGCCTATATATATTTACTGTTATACATGTTTGAGAAAATATTTTTATAAATAAGTTATTGGTCAAAACGCAAACATCTATTTCGGCTGTAGACAGAAACAGGTGAACTCTACTTCACCTGCCCCGTGTCCCGCCAAGTCCCGATAGGCAACTTTATTATTCACATCTTAAAACAAAAATTGAAAAAAAAATTGCTATTTCACTATCATCTCAGTCATTTAGGAACTTTAGCATAGGTGCTTAATAAGTGGGATACTTAACTTAGATTTAGAGTTTAGAATGAGCGTAAGAAACTTGAGTTACGCGAATAGGTCCTATTATTTTAAATAAAATGTTATCCCAAATTAGCCTATGCCATTGCTAAATAAACAAACATTTATATATAATAATTAAGGACTGAAATAGTATAGTATAGAAACTCATTATTGGCATAGATAGATTCTAGATCTAGATAGAGATAGAGTGTAGACATAGAATCCACGGCGGGCGTAAGTCTAGTTTTTTTTTTCCGTAGCTCTAGATCTAGATCTAGATCTAGAATCTAGAATCTAAACAGATAAAGTTAATTTTATAAGTTTAGACCGAAAAAAATTGTATACATTTCATGGCGTACGTCTTAATAAGTAGATTTTAATCAAATTTAAATATCACTATATATTATTCTCTTCTTGGAGACGATAGAAAACAAGCTGTAAGCGCGCTTCCTACCCCCCCCCCCCCCCCACCCCTACATGGTCTGGTGAGCTCGGGTTCACGCTAAATGTTTCCATTCGTAGAGCAGGGTTTAGTGACGGCTATTAGGGGCAGATAATGTAGTTTGAAACGATTTTAAACTTAGGGGAGGTAACTAAGTGAAGTTTACTACATGGTCTGGTGAGCTGTGGTTCACGCTAAATGTTTACATTCGTAGAGCAGGGTTTAGTGACGGCTATTAGGGGCAGATAATGTGGTTTGAAACGATTTTAAACTTAGGGGAGGTAACTAAGAGGAGTTTACTTTTACGGGGGGGGGGGGTGGAGGTAGGGGTCGTGGAAAGGAGGGGTGGGGGGGGGTCGTCCTTAACGAGCTACTGATAGTGTTTTAAAGCAAATATTTTCAGTGGCAGCATTGGTACTGTCGAATTCACAAATTATGAATTACTGAAAAGTAGAAAATAAAACAACTAAATAGTGGCGTATGATACGCCGCGGGTCGGCTCGTTATAGTTTATTTCTTTATATTCCAAAATTGGAAGATGACGCCATTAGTTTTGTGTTCTTTCCTTAGTTTAAACATATGGCATATAAAGTCATTGTTCATTGCGATTTTGTCACGACAATAAACACTTTAATCAGAAATGTATTTCTACATTCGAATATGCCTTTTATTTGATTTTCCTTTTTTAAATAAAATTTAGTTTATACATTTATAACATCCACCATATTATTTTCAACGAAAGTCCGTATCTTGAAGTTGCCCATATATCGCTGAACATAATGATCATGTTGCCAAAACTATTGCGGACAGAGTGAGAGAGAGAGAGAGAGAGAGAGAGAGAGAGAAGTGAGCACAAGGGCTTTTATATATTAGGATAGATGTCTAAAAAGAATTGTCACGTTAAAATATATTTGCTTTACTATGTATACTTTATTTTATAGAAATGTGCGTATAAAACATTAAAACTGCTCTTTTTACTCATTTGCCTTTCTGTTTCACACTTACATTTTTCTTATTAAATTGTGACTCTATATATAATTTTAAAACAAATATTCTTTTATGTTAGTAAATGAAACTATCGCATAATCATATTTTAAATTGTATTCAATTGTATTCAATTTTTAAAAAAAAAACAACTTCAAAATACATCAATATAGAAGTTACATAGTATAAAATTTCCAAGGTCAAACTTCTATTCTAATTTTTATTACAGTTGCAAATTTATTCATGTTTATACAATATGAATTGTTAAAATACAATGTGCTATTTAAATAAAAACTGAAAATTTACATAATCAACTTAAATTAAAGTATACAACAATGCTTATTTTTCTAAACGTTTTTGTTACTTTATGCGCTCACAGAAAATCCTTTTCAAGTGTTAACGTTGAAACAATATAAAGTTTTCCAAGCATCAAAACTAAATACAATTATTCCAGAAGAAACACAAATCCCACCTGAATTTTCAAAATTAATAGTAAAATAGTAAATTCCTATTTCTTTATTTAACTTATTTTACATTATTGTTTTAAAACTAAAATTGAAGACTTAACGCTTATTTGTATAAACCTACTCTTAAAAATATTTTAATGTACATTTTTCTTTCAGTATCCAAAGTGTGATAGTAAGAAGAATCTGTCAAAGAAGGATTTAGACATCATTTTAATTGGAAAAACTGGAAATGGTAAAAGTTCTTCGGGGAATTCTATTTTAAATACAGAGTCCTTTGAACCAAGTTATGGTGTTACATCGAAAACAAAGACTCCTAATTTTGATTGGTGTTCAATCGATGACCGCATCATACACGTAGTTGATTCGCCTGGTGTCATTGACACAGGTTGTAGTACACAAGAAGGAGAAGATCTTGTTAAAAAGGCTTTACAAAGTGCACTTTTGGCCAACCCTCAAGGGTATCATGCTTTTATCGTTGTCATAAAATTTGCTTTACGATACACCAATGAAGAACAAAAGGCCGTTGAAATTCTCAAAAATATTTTAGGTAATGATTTCCTACAAAATTTTGGCATTATTTTGATGACAAATGGAGATACATTTGAGTACGAATGCAGAAAAAACCCAAACCTTAACCTTGAACTATATTGCAAAGAACAAAAAGGTGCTTTTCAAGAACTTTTGCAGGAGTGTAACAGCAGAATTGTTATCTTTAACAATTTAACAGATAACGACATAATAAAGATAAATCAAGTTAGAGAGTTGATTAAAATTATTGATGAACTCAAAACCAGTGGTATGAGATACACAAATGAAGACTTTAAAAGAGCAGAACATATACATGATTATATTCAAAACTTACCTGATTCGCCATGTATAAGAAAAGATATCCTAAAGGAATACAGTTTAATTTTACAAAAAGTAAAAAAAAAAGAAAGCGATAAAGAAAACGATGTTGATTTTTATAAAGAAATGTCACTACAAATCGAAAAATTTGTAGTTCGTCTTGAGCGTGATAAAAAAACAACGGATCTACATAATAAACTGTTAACAAATGCTAAATTTTTGCTTGAAAATGTAAAACAAAAAGAGAAATTGTGTTACAAGATTAAAAGAATACAGGATGATACATCACTAAGTCAGAAAGAGAAAATAGAACAAATTTATGACATCAAAAATGAAATCTTGCTTCTACAATCTAAAGTCAATGATATTCATTATGAGTACATCAATATAAAACTAGAAACTGCCAATGGGTTTTTCGAAACTGTCAAGGCTGCATTGGGAAAATTGGGTCAATTAATTAACGAAGCAGCAGACTTGATTTCTAGTAAATTAAAGTTTACGAGCAAAATTTCCCAGAAAAAGAATGAGTAAACCTATGAACACACATTGAATTTCAAAGGAATTTAACTCACCTATTGATCCAGATGTCCATATTAGGGAAAGGCTAGAAATAGAAAAGCGTTTCAATTAAAATTAAAAGAGAATTTGAAGGGCAATATATTCAGAAAAATGTGTTTAAGAAACATTGAGCTTAAATACTACACTTTGGGCAAAAAAACGATGAAAGAACATCCTTGTCCCTTACGTCTGTATTTGATTTATTTATATATTTTTGTTGCTTTCAGTGCCTTGTCAATTTTAAAGATTTTAGTACTGTTTTTTGCTTTATAAGAGCTTTGTTAGTTTCTTATTCCGCAAAATAGTTTAATACATACAGAAGTTTTCTTTTTAAATACTAAATATAGAGAGATATATAGTTTAAAATATAAAACTTTCTACTAAAACAACCACATTTAAAAAGTCATAAAAAACGTTTTTACAGAAATTATATTTGTAAATTAAAAAAAAATTAACCTAACTTACTGTATTTGTTAATAACTAAATCATATAAATGAGTCGTTAGTGGTTAGTAGATGTTGAAAGTAGCAGAATAATGTAAATAACAATTAAAAAATATATATACGAAATGACAAATAAGTGTGTGTAGCCGCTAAAATATACTGTAGGTTACAGCTAACTTAATAAACACACATAGTAGACAGAGCTAGATTTTCATTGTTTACATTTTCTTTACTCTTCTGTAGATTTTGAAAAAAAATAATTTTATTACAAATATATTTAGAGACAAAAAAACAATGTCACTCTTTTTACCAGCTTTTATTTAACTCACTGTCTCAGTCTCAGTATGTCCTCAGTCTGGCGTCAGTCTGTCTAGATCAAAATACCCGAGCAAAATTACGGGCTCTTCTAACTGATAGATTCGGTTCAAAATTGTCAATAAAACATATGAAGAACAAAAACAATTTCATAAAAAGTTTAATAACAAGCTTTTATTACAAGGTTTTATTTAACTTACTGTCTCTGTCTGTTGTCAGTCGTCAGTCTGTCTAGATCAGGGGTCTCCAAACTACGGCCCGCGGGCCGGATGCGGCCCGCGAGGTCTTCTCATCCGGCCCGCGGAGATCTTTTTGTCAACGAAAAAAAAATGTTTGTTGGAGGTGGCTGAAATGGCGTGACGTTTAAAAAAGGCGATGTTCACCTCCATTCCCTATTTTGCACAAAACCACCCCACTGAAATAATGTCATGGAGTTTAGTTCGAAACCCTCAAATCAAATTGAAAATGTACCATTGGGTGCAAATGTAAAATTGCCATTCGTGTTGCAGACATTGGTGAAAACATTGTGAATCAAATAGCGAAAAATGCAAGCAAGTTTCGCCATTTTTCAATTGCAACTGATGAGTCGCTGGACAGCTGTTCCACCTCTCAACTGCTCGTGTTCATTAGAGATGTGGATGAAAACAAGAACAAGAACACAAGAGATGGTTTCCTACATAACATGTATGGGACTGTTACGGGAGAGGATATATTCAATGAGTTAAAAAAAAATTTGCTGATTATAACTTGAACTGGACTAACTTCTGTTACCTGACTGTTGATGGAGGAAAGTACATGAGTGGCATAAAGAAAGACTTGGTTGGACAAGCGAATGAGAAATCATTCTACAACCAATGTCCCTGCACTGTATTCTTCACCAGCAAGCTTTGTGTACTAAATATGTGGACATTAGCAGTGAACTAAATCCCTTGGTGAAGATGGTGAATTTAATAAGGTCACATGGGCTCATCCATAGATATTTCAGAGACATGTTGAAAGATACAAACAGAATCGCAAGAATTACCATATTACACAGCAGTAAGATGGCTAAGTTGTGTGAAAGTTTTGAGCAGAGTATTGAAATGTATATATATATATATATATATATATATATATATATATATATATATATATATATATATGATTTCGTTGGGGGGGGGGGGGGGGTAGACGGTAGAGGTTCTTCGGGGTGGGAGGGGCCCGCCACCCCGAAGAGATGCCTGGATGAAACTCTGGCCCGCGAACTGATATTTGATAGTTACTGCGGCCCTCGGGCTGAAAAGTTTGGAGACCCCTGGTCTAGATCGTAACGCCCGAGCAAAATTATGGGCACTTCTAACTGACAGATACGGTTCGTAGTTGGTACGTGGGTTAAGACGTGAGGACAATGCAACATAAAATTAAGCTTGACTCAATTGGTTGCCTAATTAATGTTTATGAATTAATTAAAATTTTGACTAAATTAGTAGGCTTTCTCATCTAACTACTCTGCACTAGTATACGTGCGTCATCACGTTCATTAGCTGCGCAATGGTTTTTAGTCATGCAACTCTATAGTAAATTTAAAACATTCAAAGTACTGTGAAAAAAATTCATTAAAAACGATTTAATAAGAAATGTGTATATAATAATATACGAAAAAAGTAGAAAATAAATTATACACTACTATTTACATAACTATTAAGAAATGCTTGGGTCTCTTCCTAAATATTAGTAAAGGTATCCAATAGATACTAAAGTGACTCACGTTTTTCTTTATAGTTATTTAAATAGTAGTGTATAATTTATTTTCTACTTGTTAGTGCATTAGTACATAAAAGCTTGTTATTAAAACGTTTTTTTAATGAATTTAGTGTTATAAAAGATTTAAATTAAGCATCCAGTTGAAAAAATTTACATTTTAGAATTTAATTAAAATTTAATTATGTGTTTTTATTAATTATATTTTATTGTTCTTTTTTCTTAATGTATTTCCTTCATAGTATAATCTATTATTGTAACTCAATATCTTCACGTCTGTATTTATGTGAACTAATGCAACCATTAATACGTTTTTTTGTCATATTAAATGTTAACCAAAGACTAACATAAATACTATGGTTTTTAACACAGAAACTTAAATTTAGCAAAAGTATTTTTAATCTTGTAGGGGTTCAATTACAATTTTACACATTTTATTGACTTGATTCCTATGTAAATACAACTCGCATGTGACTGTGTATAGTGTATATGGTTGTATGTTCGAATACAGGAATGATTGCATCATTTATTATTTTTCTAGACAGATACATTTTTAAAATCTTTCCGTTTATCTATAGAAATATGATTCAATAATATTTTGGCTAAGTTTTAAATAATGCCTCGACCAAAGCATGCCCCGAATTAAAATCAAAACGCCTGAACAAAAAGAAATCACCTCTGGCTTTGGATTATCATAATACGAGTAGACAAATAGTCTTGTACATTTATATTCACCGCCAAGGATGTCAAAATAGTTGATAAAATTATAAATGTAATAGACTATAAGAGAGTAAAGGTTTCATTGAGACCTAATGATCCATACGACAGATGATATAGAATTCATATGCTTCTGAAGTGAATGTGTGGTCTGCACTATAGTCGGCCGTTTTTACTTTACCAAACGTTAGTCATGTACCCAGAGGCATAGGGAGGAAATGGAAGTGTTGCTGTTATATTGATGTGTATGTTTCTCTAATAGGTAGTTATTAGTTTAAAGTTGTTGTTTTTTTTTCTTTTGTTCATGAAATGACGTGGTTGTGTTAGGTTTGTAATTGTGTGTTGGTAATTGTATACGTTTTAATCGTTTTGTAAATAAATACCACGATAACAAAATTTTAAACCGTTTTTTACTTATATTTTTACAAAACCTAATCACGTACAACCTATATATGACTTGTCGACTCTTTATACTGGATACATTTTAGAATAAATACTTGAATCAAATTTAAAAAGCAATCTATAATCTATAACGACCTATTTTTTAAAAAACTATTTCCATTTCAGATTTACTAATGCTACAAGTCTTATACTATTCATTGGAAAACAGTTGTCTAATTTTTATCTAAACTTACAAATACTAAACTATTATTATATTATTAAAATATGCTTTTACAAGACGATCCGTTATATTGTTTAATAGCTGTCTGTCAGTGGTAACGCACTCCAAGAGGAACCTTATTGCGCACACACCCAGCTCATCTACACAGGGATATTTATGTGCAAATATATTATGTGTACTTCGTAGCACTGCTATTCGTAGCATGCACTCTTGCTTAAATCCTCTCTGCATAGTAGTATTGTATAACCGAGCCTTGTTGTTCAAGCATAATCATGTCTAGTACAAAGCGGCCAACTTTCAAGGTAGTTCTAAACAAGGAAATCCCCTTATTTAAACATAAATGATTGTCCTATTCGCACACCACTCACATATTCAATACAAAAATTAATGTTTAACCTGATTACAATGCTTATTTATGCAATTATTGGGGAAAATCGTTTCCCTTATTAGGATATTTTTGTGACTATCAATAATTGTCGACATGCTTCAAAGAGCTGAACGATCCTCTTGCCCCGTGAACATAAATAAAGCGGCTCTTTTGATAATTAATACTTAATTGATACATTCTATCTAACCTTATTATATGACAAAAAATGAAAAACGTGGGGCGCCGTGATTTTCTTACAGTTTTTAATACTGTTGACTCTCTACAAGCTCCCTACTAAAACTCAATAGTATTATCTAATCAATAGCAATATAACTTTTATATCTTATATTAACAATGACCGATAAAAAACTTTTACTTCGGCGCCCCACGTTTTTCATTTTTTGTCATAATGCGCACGCAGTTTGCGATCGCTTATAGTAGAGTGGTCGCTTGCATTATTGTGATGTATAGCATTTATTTTATACTTTTTAGTTCAATCAGAAAACGTGGGTTTTTAAAAACTTTTTTAATGATAATTATTAAAAGTTTACGTATAAAAAACTGATTAAAAATCAGTAGTGTTGTATAAGAATATTCGAGGAAGTTTATGGGAGATCACTCCCGCTTTATTTTTCATTATATCTAATCAACTGTTTATCGGTGCCATGCATTACTGATTCCCCTTTAAGCACACAACCTCCAATATTTAATACAGAAACGTAACATGTCGCGATTTTTTAAATAAATATTTTCTAACTGTACCTGAAGAACATTCTTCATTTCGTTCCGCACTATTTGCTGCTGGCTTTTGACCTTCCTGAATGTAGCTGGATATGCCTGAGTATTCGCTGTTTTCATTCAATAAGAACCAGCACCTAAAGGCCAATTGAATAACACCGTCTTGTTGTGTGTTCACGCGGCACTGCTAGGGACCTTCCTTGTTGCGTCAATAAAAGACTTCTCCGATCAGCTAAAATTCTAATAAAGCGGACTACTTTATCCAGTGGACTCTTTTGCTGAAAGCTCTATGAGGTAAGTAGGTTTTCTTCTTAAAACTAAGCACAAGATCTTCTTTAAATTACTTTTGTTAAAAAAAAAAGTTTAAAATTAAAATTAATACAAACCCTAAAATATATTTAATAAAATAATAAACGATACTACAGTTGATATTGTAGTTCAATTTTAATTGTACAGCTTTGGGGAAGTTCAAATCGTAAGTTATTTAGAGGTGTTATTATACTGTTTAACATTTATAAAAAGTGTTTACGTTTGATAAATATCGTTGTAATAAATATGAATCTGGTGTTTGAATTTAAATAGACGTGATAAAATTTCTCGAGCTGTTTGCATAATATACTTGTACGTAACTGAAGATTGATCCGAATATATTGACTTGAAGCGCTCTAACTTTAACTGTACCTTTAACAGTTAAACATGTTTAAAGCGAATCGCACATAAAAACTATTTTTAAATTAACATAGAAGCCTAAATGCTGATGTTTCACTTCAATTATCATTTCAATGATAAACATATATTTTAAAATCCCAATAATATGTGCTTATTTATTGTTCTATGTCTACGCTTAACAGGTCGAATGGCGCAAACTACAAACTCCACCAACGATTCTAGTATCGATCTAGTTTTGATCGGTAAAACCGGAAGTGGAAAAAGCTCAACCGGCAACGCAATCCTTAGAAGACCAAAGAGCTTTACAATAGGCTACAGTACAAAATCCGAGACGAAAGTACCTCAATACGAGTGGGGTGAATTCGAGGGCAGGACCATTCAAGTGGTTGACTCCCCTGGTATAATGGACACATTCGAAGATGAAACAGGAGGGATAACTATGGTCCAGACTGCCTTACAAAACGTCATTTTGGCTAACCCAAAAGGATACCACGCATTTGTGATTGTACTGAAGTTTTCCTCGCGTTTTACAAGAGAAGAACAAAAAACTATTGACATCTATAAAGGAATTTTAGGAATGGATTTTCTCAAAGATTTCGGTATAATCGTGATGTCAAACGGCGACACTTTTGAGCACCATTGTGAAGCAGACGAACTGAATCTCGAGACGTTTTGCGCCGATGAAAAAGGACCTTTTAAAGAAATCTTGAAAGAATGCAACAACAGAATTGTTGTCTTTAATAACATAACCCAAGACGAAAATTTGAAACACAAGCAAGTCAAACAACTCATCGATATGGTAGACAAGCTGAAAGATGATGGTAGACGATACACGAACGAACAATTCCAGAAAGCGGATCAGATATACCAGTACATTATCGCTACTTCTAAAATCCCGATAATCAGCAAAGACATGTTAAAAGAACAAAGTTTGATTTCTCTAGAAATTAATAAATCCGATGCTTTGGCTGACCCCAAGGCTAGACTTGACTCGCTCAAGTCTCTAGAACCGAGAATTAAAAAGTTAATCAAAGATTTAAACGACTTAGACAAAACTAACGGCACTCTGAACATGTTTATTAAAAATGTTGAAGGTACGGAAAAAATAGTAGGCAACAGAATTAAAACACTATCAAACATAATCACACAGCAAGAAAAGTTACAAAAAGACGAAGAAAGATTACAGAAAGAAGAAAATGAGCTTCAGAACAAAATTAAAGCGTGCCAAAAAGATAAACAACAGACCATTAAATTTGAAGAACAGCTCGCAAAAATCACAAAGGAAAAACAAGCGATACAGCAGGAAAAAGACAAATTAAAAATACAAATATCTGTCACTGACAAGCAAGAGAGTGTCGTGAAACAAGCTACGGAGGAGAAGAGGAAAGATTTGCACGGAAAATCTAACAAGAATTTCTTCAATATATTCACAAAAGTTGGAAGTTTCTTAATCAAAAACGCCAGGACCATAATTGGAGTCATACAAAAAATTAAAGATTTAACTGACAACTGATTGAAAATGATAAATGAACTTGTTGTATTTAACACTGACTAAAGTATTAAATAAATTTAGTTTAGAGTGTTGAAAACAATTATTGAACCATGTTTTAAAATATTTGTATCTACTTGTTTTGGTTAATTTGTCTCTAGGTTAGCTTTATTTAAAGCAATTGTTAACCATTTTGTGAACGCTATTTTCCTATAAATTTGTATCTAAGTAAATTTTATTAAACAAACACTTTGCCTGTGAAGTGTTGACTATAAAACTCTATGTCTGTTACCTGAGACACTTTACTAATGACAAATCTAGAATACTGACTGATCCAGTGAATGCTTAAACAAAAAAAAATCTCTAAAACTACTGTATCACTAAGCCCACAGGCTGTAGAGCTCTGATGTGAAAACCATACTGCCATAAAACAATACCGTATTAAACGTAAGCCCGAAGTTTGTCTAATTATGAAACATTTTCTTAAGTTTAAGTATTTTATAATATGTTCTACTTTGGTCGAATAATTAAAACCATGCAATTTTAAGAAATAAAACATGTGCTTTTATGTATGTTTAATTTAGAAAACTTCCAAATTTATTTTTAATAAACTTTTTAATTAGTCGTTTTTCAAAAGAAATATTTTGAATTTGTTGTTTAAATTGTTATGTATTAATTTTAAAATAATGAACCCTCCTAAAAACAATTAGCTCCTGGCATTTAGTCCCCTAGAATACTGTAGCATAATCAACTACCCACCGACTTCTAGATCATGACATCCACTACCCACATAACTGGCTAATGGCATTTGTTTCCCCTCCCACACACACACACAGCAGTAGCGTAGCGAGGGGAGGGGGCGAGGGGGGGGACATATGTCCTTAGGGGGCGCCAAAATGGGTTGGAAAAATAAATTGAAAGTTTGAGGGGGGGGGGGGTGCAAATCGAAATCTCGAAGGGGGGGGGTGCAAATCGAAATCTTGAGGGGGGGGGGTGCAAATCGAAAAGTTTGTCCCCGGGCGCCGGGAAGGGTCGCTACGCCTCTGACACAAAGACACATACAACTGTCTCATAACTTTTTCCCACACACCAATGCTCATGGCATTCATCCCCCACAGATTACTCTGTAAGGATAGCTCTTCTGTTCTGTATTATTACAATCTTGTATCAAATTACACCAAAATATTTCATACACAAACTACACAAACTCGACGTATTTAAATATCTTAGACTCATTAAGAAACCAAAAAAAAAATAGTTTATTACTTATGGGGCAAGTATACTAAAATTACTACATTTAGGATAATAGAGTTGTATTGTCATTAAAAAATGACAATCAACGGCATGCTTATAATAAACTATGTTTTACCTCCCTCTATTAGTATCATACAACGTCTGGAAAGATTGTACACCCGCTACTCCTCCTTAGGACTGTGATGTTGTTTATAGACGACCACATAACTGGATCTTGACACTCACTCTCACACAACTGTGTGATCGCATTCTCCCACACACAAGTGGCTCATATCAATAAACCCAACACAACTGATTTTAATTGCATTCAAAACCACACATCTGGGCCATGACATTCACCCCACACATCCACACATCTGGGCCATGACATTCACCCCACACAACCACACATCTGGGCCATGACATTCACCCCACACAACCACACATCTGGGCCATGACATTCACCCCCACACAACCACACATGTGACTCATGACATTCACCCCCACACAAACACACATCTGGCTTATAAAACTCATCCTCACACAAACACACATCTGGCTCATGACATTCACCCCACACAAACACACATCTGGGCCATGACATTCACCCTCACACAACCACACACTGGCCTACGATATTCACACCCACAACCACACATCTGATCCATGACATTCGCCCCACACAACCACACACAACCGTGTAATCTCGTTTTCCCACACATAATTTGCTCTTGTCATTTACTCCCACACAGCTGACCGATGACCTTCAACCCAATACATCTACACAACTGGACACTGACATTCCCCACACACAACCACACAATTGGACAATGACATTCCCCACACACAACCACACAACTGGACAATGACATTCCCCACACACAACCACACAACTGGACAATGACATTCCCCACACACAACCACACAACTGGACAATGACATTCCCCACACACAACCACACAACTGGACAATGACATTTACCCACACACAACCACACAACTGGACAATGACATTCCCCACACACAACCACACAACTGGACAATGACATTCCCCACACACAACCACACAACTGGACAATGACATTCCCCACACACAACCACACAACTGGACAATGACATTTACCCACACACAACCACACAACTGGACAATGACATTCCCCACACACAACCACACAACTGGACAATGACATTCCCCACACACAACCACACAACTGGACAATGACATTCCCCACACACAACCACACAACTGGACAATGACATTCCCCACACACAACCACACAACTGGACAATGACATTTACCCACACACAACCACACAACTGGACAATGACATTCCCCACACACAACCACACAACTGGACAATGACATTCCCCACACACAACCACACAACTGGACAATGACATTCCCCACACACAACCACACAACTGGACAATGACATTTACCCACACACAACCACACAACTGGACAATGACATTCCCCACACACAACCACACAACTGGACAATGACATTCCCCACACACAACCACACAACTGGACAATGACATTCCCCACACACAACCACACAACTGGACAATGACATTCCCCACACACAACCACACAACTGGACAATGACATTCCCCACACACAACCACACAACTGGACAATGACATTTACCCACACACAACCACACAACTGGACAATGACATTCCCTATTCACAACCACACAACTGGACAATGACATTCCCCACACACAACCACACAACTGGACAATGACATTTACCCACACACAACCACACAACTGGACAATGACATTCACCCTCACACAACTGGCTTTTAACGACAGCTCCTCTGCTCCGTATCTAGTGACATACCACCCGGCCCAGACTTACGGAATGCCAAAGTCATCAACTTTTACAGAAATAATGTCAATGTACTTCATTCAAACATTCCAGTTTGTAACAGACCACAGAGTCCGTGCGTCTTGAAGCTAATCAAAATTGTAAATCTGCACTTATTGAGGAAGAGATTTACCAGTGAGGTTAATTATTTTTTTTACCACGTTTTCTTTAACTTGCTTTCTCTGTCTTTCCAATCAAATCTTGCGATCGAAATTTCTGGCACTTCCCAGTTAGCTAGCGCGCTGAAATTTTCAGGGAAGCTTTCTTTTGGATGACCATAGAATATTCAATTGTTATTATTACTAAATTGATCAATGGAAACATTTTATTGAGCATTTTAGACCGCTATATAATCTATATATATAATTCTCCTCTGCGAGCCATTAGAAAAAAAACCAGCGTCGCGTAGCTAGCCTCTCTCTTGCCGCGCGCAGTGAAGCGAACGATCCCACGTCGCGACAGGCTTAGGCGCAGATAATTTAGTTTTAACCGACTTTAAACTTACAGGAGGTAACTATTACCACTGGTGGCCAGTTTGGGGGAGACGATATGGTCGAGTGGTTGGGCACACGATTGCTATCCCACTCGACACGGGTTCAAATCTATGTGTTCTAGTCAGTAACGTATTCACACAACGTGTTTTTTACGAGTTGTCTTTTTACGAGTTGTCTTTTTACGAGTTGTCTTTTTACGAGTTGTCTTCGTTTACCCAAAAAAAAGTGAAAAGATAAAATCGATAGCAAGATTTTAATGCAAACAAACAGACAAAGACTAAAAAGTAGAAAATAATAATCATTAAAAAAGTTTTTAAAAACCCACGTTTTCTGATTGAACTAAAAACTAGAAAATATATGCTATACATCACAATAATGCAAGCGATCACTCTACTATAAGCGATCAAAAACGTGGGGCGCCGTGATTTCCTTACAGTTTCTAATACTGTTGACTCTCTACAAGTTCCCTAATAAAAGTCAATAGTATTATCTAATCAATAGTAATATAACTTTTACTTCGGCGCCCCACGTTTTTCATCGCTTATAGTAGAGTGATCGCTTGCATTATTGTGATGTATAGCATATATTTTCTACTTTTTAGTTCAATCAGAAAACGTGGGTTTTTTAAAACTTTTTTAATGATTATTATTTAAATCTTCTTTCTTCTTCTTCGTTCTTAATTTTTAGTGTTGGAAGGGATCGAGCCTTATCTGCCAGAGGGTTTGAACTCGAGACTTTTTTCGAATTTATCAACCATGACCATGTTTCCATCACAATTAAGGATTACGTGTCAACTGGTTATGCGCCATTAAGGCCATTGACTCCGATTTCAGCCTGCTTTTCTTTTTGGATTTGCTTCCATAGCCTTTGTCCAAAAAAGAACAAACTACAAGGCAGCAGTTGTTTGATTTTGGTGTTGTCTCTTCTAGAAGAGTGGCTTTCCCCAGCTAACGAGCCTCATCTGCCCGAGGGTTCGAACTCAAGACTTTTCGGTTTAGCAACCATAAGCTTTACCGACTCGACCACGCCGACCCCTATTTTTATATTCGAAAATCCACTAATTGCTGTGAGTTGATCCATTCACCCCGTGAGAATCAAAAAGCGGCGTATCCTAGACATAATTTTATTTCTAACAGTTTGTTAGTTAGTCTCTGTATTCCAACTTATTGGACGGTGTGGTCCAGCGGTAGACAACGTGCTTTGTAACACGCAAGTCACGAGTTCGAAACTTTGGCACGAGACGGCAGATCATTCTCTAACCCAAGAGAGGAGAGTCAGTTAAATGACGCATTTCATTATATTATATGAACTTTGAATATTACAATCATGTAGCGAAACACATCAAGATAGTTGATACGAACACTAATCGAAGGCGGCAGATATCGATCTTTTGGAGACATTTAGAATTGGATGGGGCACATATTTTTACATTAGTATATACATTATGAATGGGACGGAGTGGTCTAGCGATAGAGAGCTGAACTGCTAACCCGTATGTCTCGAGTTCAAATCCGGGTTTCAATATTTATTTGTTTGTTGTTTTTTGTTTGTCTGATTGGAGAGAATCTGCACTATGTGTATTGCTGTAAAATAGTATGTAGGTAGAGAGCAATTTTTGTTTTCAGACAGATTGTTAATCAAAAATTTATTTAAAGACGTTAGTTAATTAATTGATTTATTCATTGGTAGATTAACCACATTAATTAATAACCACTTTAATTATAAAAGTTTAAAACATTGGCTTTACTTTGAGGGAATAGTGACGCCACATGATTTGTTTACTTTTTAGTACAATAAATGTCGGCTTAAATACAATCTTTCGTGGCCCATTCAGATCTTTAATGCGTTATAAAGCTAATTTTCTGTCGGCTATAACTTTAACAATACGTCCGTTTGCTGTATTTATTACGTTCCAATACTTATATATAAATTTTCAACTGTCTTTTTCATTTAGTTTTACAATAAATTTCTCTAGCTCTACAATC